AAAAAAAAAAAATATTGAATGTTGTCAATCGACTTGTTTAGTTTTTACTCTACGTAAATAATTAATTTTTTTTTAACAGAAAGTCAAAAAAAGAAGCAACAGGATGATTCTGATGAATATGATGATGATGACTCTGCAGCCTCAACTTCATTTCAGCCACAACCTGTTCAACCTCAACAAGGTTATATTCCCCCCATGGCACAGCCAGGACTGCCACCAGTACCAGGAGCACCAGGAATGCCTCCAGGTAGCACATAGGATTGCTTAAAATCTGACATTCTTAGGACTTTATTTATACTGTATCAGAGTACACCTTCTTCACCCTGACTTTTTAACATTTGTTATTATTTTGATTGAAATTCTCGCTTGTAGGCATACCTCCATTAATGCCAGGTGTTCCTCCTCTGATGCCAGGAATGCCACCAGTTATGCCAGGGATGCCACCTGGGTAAGAAAATTCTTTTAATTGTCTTGTGGGCTTGTGCCTAGTAATGATCTTTTTCAATCTGGATGTTATATGAATGAAATGTTACTTTCTGTTTTTTGTTTCTAGAAGGTATGGGCTCTGTAAATCTTGTCTAATAAAGGGATCAACCAGTAAATTTAAGGAATATGAATTTGCTTCTGAAGAATAGATTTTTGGGTTTTAGGGTATATGTAAGCAACCATCTACTGCCAACTGCATTTGCTGTGATTAAAGTAGTTGGTTATGTATAGATTTGAGTTTCTGAGATTCAGAACTACCTGTGACACTTTGTAGTTGCGACAAGAAGCAGACAAACTCTGTAAATGATTTATTTGTCAAAGCATCAAAACTAAAAATGAAGATGAGGTGCTTGTGCCCATCACTTTTACTTAAATATTGTTGGATGTGAGAGGTATACAGTACACTTTCCCACTGTATTTTGAAAATCACAGTTAGATTTTGATTTTGTCATACATTTTCACAGATTGCATCATCAGAGAAAATACACCCAGTCATTTTGCGGTGAAAACATGTAAGCATCTCATTCATAATGTAATTCAGGAGGTATAATCATAATGTCATTTTTTTATGTGTGTGTTTAATGGTATCTATTCAGTTGACTTCAGAACTTTTCTAACCTTCCTCACTAAAACTTGCAAGCTGATTAGCACAGGTCTCTTAAAGGAGGAAAATAAAACATCTTTTTAGGAAATAGTAATAGACCTATTTAAACATACTTCAAATGTGTAGCGATTTTCTCCAAAGTATTGAGAGTAATAGGACCTGATAATAAGGGTTAGTATTTAAGAAAGAAAGACTGTATATTTTGTGAAATTACGTACTTTATTATTATAGGATGTAATGGAATTTTCTTTTCTTTTTGTTTTTTGTTTTTTGAGATGAAGCTTTGCTGTTGTTGCTCAGGCTGGAGTGCAATGGTGCAATTTTAGCTCACTGCAACCTCTGCCGCCTCGGTTCAAGCGATGCTCCTGCCTCAGCTTCCTGGGTAGCTGGGATTACAGGCATGCACCACCACACCCAGCCAATTTTTTATATTTTTAGTAGAGATGGGGTTTCATCATGTTGGCCAGCCTGGTCTTGACCTCAGGTGATCCACCTGCCTCGGCTTCCCAAAGTGCAGGGATTACAGGCATGAGCCACCTCACCTGGCCTGTAATGGAATTTTCTAATAAAATCTATCAATATAAATAAATCTTCTGATAAAAATTCTAAATCAAGAATTGAATTTACAAAAATTTTTAAAAAATTTAAAAAGAGAATTGACCCCTTTTTCAGTTTTTTAAGTGAATTGGACACTGATTTGAAGGTGAGCTCTTTTAGGGGAAAAAAATAAATGGGTCGTGTTTTTAAGTCATGGTTTAGTGTTAGGTAGCTATTGTAAATAGTAGGCCATCTGGATTTACTTTTGAGTGTCTCTAAATTTGGTAGTTGTATTTCCTTTCTCTTAGAATATTTGTATATATATATGTGTAAAGAGA